TTAATTACTAATATTATGTCTTTTTATTTTAATTGATCATTATATTATCATTTTTTAAAATTTATTAAGAAATAATAAATATTAATTTTTTTCAAAAAATATAATATAAAAATATACAATAAATAATTATATTAAAAAATAATATTTATTATTTAAAATATAACAATAACCCCAATCAATGATTTTTATATAATGGAAAGGTACGAAGAATAGCATGGGGTTAAGGCAATGGGGAACAAACCATTTGTAGATTAGGCCCAATAAATGTTCAGAGCCCATAGCCCAAACTTAGTTACGAGAATATTTTGATGTGATGTATTTTATGTTTTAATTTTTTTATTTTAGTCTTAATTTTATTAATATTTGAATGAATAGAGTATAATTTTTATAAATTATACATGATTTTAATTTTGTGCGAAAAATAACTTAAAAGCATAATAACAGAAATTTTGTAACTTAATTTTTTTGAAAGCTTAGGGACTATAATGCAAAAAAGAAAAGTTACAATTGGGACCTAAATGAACAAATTAGGATTAAAGTGCTCATGATATAGAAGTTGAGACCAGTTGTGGTTTTTTTTCCATTGAAAAAATTGCAAAAAGATCCAAAAATCCCGGACAAGGGTTGAGTGTCAACACAACTGTAAATCTACCCATTTTTTTGATACACCTAAATGAATTATATAAGATTATATAAGAAGAGATAACTCTTTTTTTTTTTTAAATACCTTCTACTTTACTCAAAATTTGAATTAAATATACAGATACTGTACCTAAGAATCTGTCTAGGTAGAAATTCAAACCAGAAATGTCGTTGCTTTCATTATAGTGTTCACACCCTAAGAAAATTTCAGCAATCATTAGATTAATAAATGAGAATAGTTTTGATTTTTAAGAACGTCCTCGTAGTCTAATGATTATCTCTCTTTTATAAAGAATTTTTTATAATAAATATAAAATTCAAGTTCTACCCCAATGTTTTAAAAAAATAAGAAGAGTTTTAAAATAATTTTAAAAAGTATATCAAATAAATTAGGAAATTTGTAAATGCCTTCATAACATATTAATTTAAATTTTAGTATTATTTAAGTTAATTTATTTTTTATTAATTTAGTTTTTTC